ACAGTTTAGAATTTGGGGGGGGAAAAATGACTTAAAAAAAAAAACTATCAAGCTGAATTCAATATGAGATTTCTTACGTGGTTTGTGCTCTTGGATAAGCACAGCTTGGGTAAGATGTGTTAAGTATTTATATTCATTACTTGAACCTGACTGCAGCATTATATTAGGAAAAGACCACACAGCACATAATAGGCTTGGTGAAAACATTCTCTCCATGGAAACCTGACAGGGTTTTCTTTCCTTCAGGGAAATGAGGTTCTTCAAACCAAGTTTAAAAGATGGCACACTCAATCATAACTGACAATGTCTGCTAGAAAAGTCTGAACATTTTGGCTTCAGAGTGAGTATAACAGACCCTTGACATTTCAAAGTCTAAGTCCTGAGATCTTTGCTCAAATTCAAAAATATTCCTGAATAAATGTATACAGGTTCCTGGTTTTCTTCAGAATTACACTTTCAACCTTGTGTCATAAAGTTTCTTACACATACTTTCACATGCAAATTATTAATCTTTTTAATTCTTCTCATAGAATAACCATTATATTCATTTGCTAGGGCTGCCATAACAAAGTACCACGAACTGGGTGGCTTATACAACAGAAATGTATGCTCTCTCAGCTCTGGAGGCTACAAATACAACATCACAGTGTTGGCAAGGTTTGTTCCTTCCGAGGGCTGTGAGAATCTGTTCTGCGCCTCTCACTTACCTTCTGGTGGTTTGCAAGCAATCTTTGGCGTTCCTTGGCTTATAAAATCATCACCCTGATCTCAGCCTTCATCTTCATCTGATGTTCTCCCTGTGCAGGTCTATGTTCAAATTTCCCCTTATTATAAGGACACCCATCATATTGGATTAGGGCCCACCCTAATGACTTCATCTTCACTACCTACATCCACATTGACCCTATTTCTGAGTTACATTACAAGGTATTGAGAGTTAGGACTTCAACATATGCATTTTGGGGGAGAACAATTCAACCCATAGCAGCCATTTTCACATGATAAAGTTTGACATCTTCCAACCACTACATATTGTCTGGATAACAGCTGAATTTCCCATGCCTATAATAGAACCTGGCACACAGGAGAGACTCAATAAATATTTGTGGAATGAATGAGTGAATAAATGCATGAGACTGTGAGGGAAGAAACTGGCTGCTGAGAGGCTTGCTAGGCCACATCATTAGCTGAGTAATGCCATTCTGCATGGCATTTAGCGGGAATTAGGATTATGCCTTGGCAAAATAGCAAACTACCATATACCCCATGGACTTCTAAGGTCACTCGTAAATAGTCAAAATCACAAATGTTAAAAATCAAAAATGTCAAAACCCATAAAACCCAGCAACTATTATACATATTTTTAATGATTTCTTTCTTAAGGGAATGATAGTAGAAAAGAAAAGTATCAGAAATAGGGTAGTAAATGATTTCAATTTTAGTAAGTCATGGAATGCGTTATTAGAGAGAGAGAGCAAAGGTCACTAAATGAAACAGTATCAACCAGATACATTACAGTACCGTTTATGGGTAATCCATTCCTGTAGCACTAAATCAGGTGATTCCTTGTTACAATAATTCTTCTGCTATTTAATAACTAAACCTCTTTGGACAAGATCCAAGATGAATTGTACACACTACAGTAAATTGTACATAACAAGCCTCTATTCTTTTTACACTAACATTTTCAACATAGACTCTCAATACCCACATAACAAGGGATTGAAAGTATTCTTTTCTATTTCTTTTTTTTTTTTTATTTTTTTTTTTTTTTAAAGATTTTATTTATTTACTTGAGAGAGAGAGAATGAAAGACAGAGAGAGCATGAGAGGGAGGAGGGTCAGAGGGAGAAGCAGACTCCCCGCTGAGCAGGGAGCCCGATGCGGGACTCGATCCCGGGACTCCAGGATCATGACCCGAGCCGAAGGCAGTCGCTTAACCAACTGAGCCACCCAGGCGCCCCTCTTTTCTATTTCTCTTAATCATCTCATTCAAATCATATCATTTCCTGGGTACTTGGCTTTAAAAAACCATATTACTATAAACTTTAAATAAACCTGGATAGGTCTACATTCATTTCAGCAGAAGCATCTTGAAATGTTGAATTATCATCTTCAATTTCCTTCAGTCATTTATTGTAGCTGCCAAACTGAAATGGTGCACCTAAAAGGCAACACTAAACTGAAAGCAAATAAAAAAAAAGTCTCTTAAATGTTTCATTTATAAAAGCTTGTTTTTCCCCACCATCAAATTCTGTACACTTTACAGAATAAATAAATTACTTTATAAAATTGACACCTTGCATGCAGTTATTCTGCCACAATACATTTGCTTAACTTCAAGGTTTATGGGGGGGAGGGGAGGGAGCTAGCATTTTTTTCTCAACCTTTTATGAACAGAAGAATAATACAGAGCTAGATTGGTTTTGGGTTTTGGCCTTTGGGGGGGGGGACAGAATTAAAATTAAACCTCAATTGCCAATAGAGATCACTATAGCTATCCCCTTTTCTAGATAACTTTACTAATCCTTCCTGGCTATATTAAAAATTATGCCATAAAATAAACACTTTTAAAAGGCACATCAAGTCAGAGGGTGGCTGCTCCAAAGAGTACTCTATGACAGCTCACTCTGATTGGAAAACCTATCTGCTAGCCAAAAACATTCAAAGCATTTTCTTGAAATCCTGCTCACAAGCAATATAACAGCAAATTAACAAAGTAGAACAAATCTACAGAATTCTACTATGAAGTCCTGTATACTTTTCCCCCTAACATAATTGTTAATGACAACTATAAAATGCTAATATACAAAATAAACAAAATGTAGTTTATATTTCCAAAACCGAAGAGTTTTAGACCAGGATACAGAGAAAAGGAAATGTTTTTATTAGTAAAGTACATTCAGATCACATTTATATAAAATAGGTTGCTACCAAGGTTATTTGGTAAAGGAGCCATTGAATATATTTGGGCAAGGGCAAGTTTATGAACTATGCTATGAGGGAAGAAAATGAGATGCCAAGGGCTTCTTTTTCTTCCCTTTATATACCAAACTTAGCTATTACATGACGGTCAGAATCACTGTTCAAATCTTTCTCAGTTAATGTCACTTTGTAAAGCCAGAGTTTCTAATAATTTACTGCATAAAATTATAGTTTAACTATATCATAAGCCGAATGATTCCTAGAGCATCTTTTTCTCCAATCACCTACTTAAGAAATTAGTATCTATATTCAACACATTGTCCATTTTTGAAGCATTTCCTACATTTCTAGTCAATTTTAAAAGCCTTATTTAGAAATAATACCAATCCACTTCTAATAGCTAAGTAGAACAATTTTTTAATCTGTAGGGTATCTTAAAAACCAATCAACTTGACATAACCTCCTAATTCCAGGAATGTAAACCATAATTCAACCTTCAATTTTCCTCTTAACATATTCTACTTTACTAAAATGAATTCCCATCCTGCAATTTTGAACAAGAAAATTGTACTTAAAATAATATTAAAAGACAAAATCTCATTATTTAGTATTAGATTAATAGTCTATAATTCTAATCTTAAAAATATCTATAGCTATAACCTCTCCACCTTGTTAATTCCCAAAGAGATTAATGAAAGATGTGATTAACATCTAAATTTAGAGCAGACTGTCATTTGGAAAAAACTATGTTAACAATAACTATACCACAGTCAAATAGATCAACCCATCACCCTTTATGGTTCTGACTAAGGTTAATGAGCACAATTTGTCATAAATTTTCTAGTAACTCTGAAAAACTGAAGTGAACAAAAAGACTACTTTTTTCGTAACGCTTTATAAAAATAGAATAAAGGCTAGAGTTGTCTTCCTTGGAACCTGAGTAGTATTTGGCAATGTAAATGTCATTAAATATTTGTGGAATGAATAAACAACAACAACAAAATGAGCACCCACTGCACTTCTACCATTCAGTTCCTTATTATGTGCCAGGTAATATGTATTTCAAATTCTACATTATAAAAGGGAATACACTCAACTGTTTTTTATTTCTATTAATAAAACACTGAAAGAATTATTCACTAAGAAACTCCAATTTAACAGAATTTAGAGTTGGACTTTCACAAACCCATAACTTGGCTAATGATTTTCTGCAACTGTATGACATTTTTCATTTTTTTTTTATGAAATTAGAAAATATACAGAAATGCAAGTTGTAAGTTTCTTTGTAATAAATAACACATGTACACTACACTTGTTCATAATAACATTTATTTCTCTCATGAAGAAGTTACTTTTTAAAAAAGCTAGAAATTTGAGAGGATGAGGGTAAAAAAAGTAATGAAGTAAATATAAATGTTCTTCCACTTCAAAAATTGTCTGACATCTGAGCCAGAAGACTCTGCATCTATCAGTGACTTCCTCTTCATGTGTCATAGAAAGAGTTCAACATGCTTTACAAAATCCATTACATTTTAAGACCATTTCCAATATCTTCTACCATAAATCAAGAAATCCATTTATTCAAGGTTACTTATGGAGAATTAATCACAGAAAATTTTAACAACTTCTTTTTCAAAAATTAAAGTACTTTACTGTACTTGGCATTCCTATACATAATGATGTGGATATGTGGATTCAAAGACTGAAAGCATTAAGAGCATATAATTAAAATTCAAGGACTTAGACATTAAAAAAAAATTTTAATATGTAGAATTCTCTGTAACAAATATTCTGAAAAAATAAATCAGAATTTAAACACAATATAATCTCCTTTGGACTTGTCCTCTCCTTAACTGTGGCATTACATAAACAAAGAAAGTTGTTCCAAAATACTTGTATGTACTTGATGCCACCTCAAAACCATGTAATCAAAAAATGTGAAAAAATGAGGCCAGAAGATCTATAAGCATGATGCATAAGCAACAAAAACTCGAGTTTCTCTATTCCTAATAATCTCTAAAACCTATCTTCCTAATTTCAAGGGCAAATTTACACAAAAGAGAAAAACAGTCATCTATACAACCTTTACAGCCTTTATTGATAGGGTATAGCCATTATGCCAAAATTCAGCCATCAATATACAGCCTCATTTCCCATCTAAAGCTAATGAGAATATATTTTACCTTAAATGGGACATAGAGGCAAACTGCCAAGAATTAAAATATAACCTTAAAGTCTTAATTTCATACTTCAAATATCAAAAAAGCAATAATTCCCAAAATCATGAAAACATGATGAAGTAGCTACATAGGAAAGAAATGGGCATTTAAGTCATTTCATTCTTTCTTAATATTATATAGTGAAAACAGATGTATTTATAACTTTAGCCTTCAGAGAGCATACTTCATAAAGTCATTCATTTAAAATAGACAAATGTTTACAAAGAACATTTAACTTAAATTTCATAGTTGCTTATAAAATGGTACTTGAAAGATTGACCTGTATAAGGAAATAAGAGTCTTGTCAAGAGAGATGATAAACTATAAATATAAAATATATCACAATGTTAAAAACCTCATTGTGTCCTATAGGAAAATCAATAAAGATAACTTAATCTTTCTAGGGGAAAGAATATTTAGCATTACAAATTTAAAATGCAAATTTTATATATGGATTCAATAACAAATACATTTAAACCTTGCAATGCCACATAATCATCTATTTTGTGGAAAACAGTAAAAGTGATGTACTTTTACAATATGTGTACATCAAAACCAAAGGGTTAATTTTTACTTTTTCCTTTATTGGCAACTTTGGATGCATTTTTAGGTTTTGGTTCCCAAAGGGCATTTTTCACAAATCTTGAAGCTGCACCTCTGTCCAGCTTGCCAGCCTTTTTCTTGTCTGTTATTTCCTTGACTCTGTTCATGTATATTCTGATTCTTTCCTTAAAGATAAAAAAAAAAAAGGCAATAGATTTACTAAGCTGTTCACCACCACTAAGCTTTATTATACTATACCTCAGTTAAATTCAACAGATATGTATTTATTGCCTATTGAGTGGTGCTAGTAAGTACAAGTGAATAGGATAAACATGTTCCATGCTCTTCTGGAGTTCATAGTCTGGGGGGCATAGACATTAAAAAGTCATTTCAGAAGTATTTGGAGTGTTTCAATAGGGGAAGAACTAGACTAAGACATCACTACAGAGATTAACACTGAATTGTTCATATGTAGTTATATATTTTTTAATTTAACATTAACCTAAATCCACATAAGAACTCTCATGTATCTGAAGTCTATAATCGAAAATAGAGCTCTCATATACTTGTATGCAACATACAAACTAAACTCTCTTGAAACTTTTCTAAACAGGAAATGGAAGAAGTAGTATTTAACTATTTTTTTATTTTACCTTCTAGTATCACAATTAAAATAAGCAAAATGAAAATACAAGATTTTTTGTTCAATTTCATAGTTTTGATTGATAAGCACATGATACTTTCTAATGAAATATAGTTTCTATATTTCTAATCAATTCTAATCAGACTTTACAAGGTGAGGAACATAATAAGGTTGCCATACCACTTCGAATCCTCTGAGACCATTAATCAGAATAAAGGGCTATTTTATACCTTCACTGGAGAAATAAAGGGGATGAGAGCCGTAAAATAGCATAGTAAATGATTGATCACTGATAAAAAGCAAGTTTCATTAAAATAATCAAAATAGTTATAGAAATATACTCAGAAAAATGCAGACCCCTAGAACTTTTTAATTGTGAAAGGCTGACAACTCTGCTTAAAATCCTCTCATGGCTCTCTACTTCCCTTGGAGTAAAAGCCCAAGTCCTCCCAACACACACTCACCCAGCCTTGCCTGGAATGATCTTCCTCAAATATCCACATAGCCACTCCCTCTCTCCCTTCCAGCTGGCTCAAATGTTAACCTTGTTAATAGGCCCTGCCTTTACCATTTAAAATGGCAATCCTACTCAAGCACTCCAATCCCCCTCAACCTATGCTATTCTTTTTTCCCATAACATATAACTTTCTAACATACTATATATCTATATGTATTTATCATTTGTTTATGTTAATTGCTGGTCTCCCTCCACTAGATAGTCTGGCATCTGCCACAAGGGTAGTGGTATTTATCAGCTTTATTCACAGAGGAATCATCTCACTTGGATATAATGCCTGGCTTCCAGTAGGCACGCAATTATTTGTAATAACTGTAAATAAATTGACTATTTTCAATGCCTTTCCCCGTTCATGATATATATGACAAATAGGTTTCCTCTCACACACTAACTCTGTGATCAATTAGTGATGTCTGTCACAAGGTCAGAAAAGGAGAATGGGTTTATGTACGCTTTTTATGTGCCAACCATCGTCCAGAATATGAATGTACTCCTCCATAAAGTGGGTTCTGACAGAGAAAAAAGACACATGATGATTTTATCCATTTCCAATGACAGAACCAAGTATTAAGACACTACAAATAAGTTTGTATTAAAGGAAAAATGAGAAACCTTATAAATGTAAAGTCCATATTAGAAAGTTGAAAACAGATGATACAGGGCACACTTCTTAAGATTTTAAAGTCAGTATCACCGGTCAAATCAAGATCTGTGCTTCATATTGTTTTACATTTTTGCTTTAAGTATTTTTCACAATTTCTGTATTTAAAAATAAATTTGTTTTTCCCCCAAGAACTTTAAAAGAAGACAATGCCTTAGTCCATATATTTATAAAATGAAGACAAGATACGTGGTTTACTCGTTTTTTATAAATAAATGACCAAGTATTCTACTAAGTTGAAAATAACATACGTATCAACCACCATAAGACTTGAGAATAATAATACAGTGTCAAGTGTATTTCACATATTTACCTTATAACTTATAAACACAAAGAATAAATTTATTAACATTCTTATTCATAAAGCCAAGTCAAGAAGGTAACTGTAAGTTAGATTTCTAATTTTTTCTTTCATATTGAATGATTTAATTTTTGAAGTCAGCAAAAACTCCAACATACCCGACCTTATATACTGTACTTATACATCTAAATGGAATACAAAGACAAACCTAGAAGATTTATTACAGGTTGTAAATATGTCACTAATGCAGAATTACTGGACAGTACACATACAACTGGTGCCAAAAAAGCTTTTAGCTTTGTTGCTGAACTGGATTCTTTACTGCTGAGAAAATGAATTAATGGAAGAATTGAAAAGTGGGGGAGAAACTTTCCCGTCTTTGCTAGTAAATCAACTAGAATATACTTTTAAGAATTGTGTAAGAGTTTAAAAAAAAAAAAGGCAGCTGTAGAGATGAACAGGACTTCAAGAATTTATAGAAAAAATAATATGGAAGTTATAAATAATTACTTGAATTGTAACATTTTCCCATCCAGAGATTTATATAATATATGGAACACCATTTCTTTGACAAAGGTAAGGAAAAGACATAAGGAAATCTGGCTCACTTTCATAAGCTGGACTCTAAGTAATTTTGTTCTCCATAATTAGTATGATAAAGGTACTGTGACTTTGACTTCAGGAATACCACAACAAACAAAGAGTCAAATAAAAAATCCACTGCAATCTTACCAATTCCTGCTTTACTGGATGCTCCTTAGGATTAACTCCCTGAGTTGCCAAATAAACTACAAGACAAAGATTTCATGGAATAAAATGGCATATATATTAATTAAGAGCATTAATTAAAGAAACTCTAGTTACTCACAAAAAAGAAATGTCACAAAAAATGATTAATTAAGGGGCGCCTGGGTGGCTCAGTTGGTTAAGCAACTGCCTTCGGCTCAGGTCATGATCCGGAGTCCCGGGATCGAGTCCCGCATCAGGCTCCCTGCTCAGCAGGGAGTCTGCTTCTCCCTCTGACCCTCCTCCCTCTCATGCTCTCTGTCTCTCATTCTCTCTCTCGCAAATAAATAAAATCTTAAAAAAAAAAATTTAAAAAAATGATTAATTAAATCTTAAATTATTCAACCTCTATGTATTATTAAATTTTTATGTGCCTCATGGATATCTGGTATTCTGACTTAAAAGAAATAAATATCTGACTATTAAAATTGCCATAAAGTATAACTGTATATAAAGTGCTAGCATTTAAAAAATAAATCACCTTTGACACAATAAATAATTTGCTAATTAACTCCAAATTAATATACATACCCCAAAACATTGAATTTAATGTGTAAGCAGAAACTAAATCCACTTTGGCTTGCTCAAGGGGGTCCAACTATAAAAAAAAAGAGAGCGAGAGAAAGAAAAAAGAAATACATACAAATTCTGAGCACAATCACATTATTTTAGACTTTCACCAAATACAATGTATCAAAGAGATGTTTCTTTCCCTTCCTATAATCCAATAACCAAATGATCCTGAAATAATTTGCAAAAAGAAAAAGTTTTGTTAACCAGTGATTTTGCCCACAAATTTTCACTTCAGGATATCAACTTTACTTAGACAAGGAATGTATAATCCAAGCAAAATTCTTTTCAATTATTTTAATTTCAGGAGTTATGATCTGGGTTTTGTATGTCAAAAGTAATTTATCAATATAAACACTGTACATGATGCATTTATGTATAAGAGGCAGGCTAAAATGCTTAGGCAATACCAAAGACAGAAGAAACATAATGAGATTTGTTTTAGAATGTCAAAGTCAATTTACTCTTTTCGTCCTATAGGGTTTCCAGAAACCCTGATAACATCATTGTAATATTTAAAAGGTCAAAGATAGAGTCTGTCAAAAAGAATGTTGTTGAGAGCTCCTTTTTTCTCAAAACCAAGTCAAAATAAAAATATAGTTAGGAAGTATTTCCTAAGGTTGGAGTTCTGTTTTGTTTTTTCCCCCGAAAAATACCCAAACACTTATAAAATTGAAATTAAGGGGAAAAGGAGCATATGTCATTAATCTGTATCTTCTATATTTTCATAACATAGCACTCTGTTTTATGAATTACATTTTTAGAAATTACATTTTTAAAATACCTTCTGCAACAACTCATTTCTAGAAACAGACATCATGGTCTTCAGCATCTCATCCACAGCACCAATGGAATTCTCAAATGTTGATAAATACTCATGAATTTCTACTGGATAGTCTTCATTAATTTCTTCACCGGCCATTATGACCAACTGGAAAAAAAAATTTTTAGAATTCGTGGAAGACAGAGATTGCTCTTTAGTTTACAAAAACAAAATCAATATTATGCATTTAAAAAGTACTAAAAGAGTTAAAACCTAAAGATAACTATACAAATCTTAAAATATAATTCTAGAGCAACTACATTCACTTTCCATCCTCAAATTGTTCGAGGTGGCAGGGGGAGAAGAGAACCCACCCAAGTCCACTAATGCTACATGTATCAGAGCCTCAATGCCTTTCAAGAACAAAGACCAAACATGGATTATCAATAATCAAAATCCCACATTTTAAAAACTTTCAAAAAAAAAAAAAAACCTGTTGAAATTAAAGACCAACCAAAGCTATGAAAGTACAATGAGTATATCCTAAGCTTGTTGAAAAAATAATAAGCTCTTTCTTTGAAAAACTTTGAAAAATTTTAGCCCTTCTAAATTTAGGTGTTGAGGGGCGCCTGGGTGGCTCAGTCGTTAAGCGTCTGCCTTCGGCTCAGGTCATGATCCCAGGGTCCTGCTCCTTGGGAAGCCTGCTTCTCCCTCTCCCACTCCCCCTGCTTGTGTTCCTACTCTAGATATCTCTCTCTGTCAAATAAATAAATAAAATCTATAAATTAATTAAGTAATTTAGATGTTGATCTAGCAGCATGGTATATTAAACTAAAAAATTAGAAAACCTAGGTCTGAAATAGCTTATGACTATCACTAAAATCATTTTTAAGCCTATATTTACATTTATATATATTCTTTAAGCCTCTTTAAAATAGTAATAACAAATTCAGAGAGTCCATAAATCACATAAAGTCTACCAGCAGAAAAGAGGAAACTTGGGAGAAATAAACGATATGATTTTCATTTAGGCTAGAGTATATCTTGACAGCCCATTCTTTTAAAATTCACATTTATGGGGCGCCTGGGTGGCTCAGCCGTTAAGCGTCTGCCTTCGGCTCAGGTCATGATCCCAGGGTCCTGGGATCGAGCCCCGCATTGGGCTCCCTGCTCGGCGGGAGGCCTGCTTCTCCCT